GAAGAATTCAAGGTAAATCACTTATTTGATTAAATTTTTGTAAAATGTGATGAAATGCAGACTCAGATCGATTCCTATATAGTAATTATTCATCAGAAAATAGTGTCTCATTAGTTCTCGCTTCATTACAATACTTTTATCATTCATTAATTTGACATGTATATTGTTTGCTATTGGATCTAGCTACTTGATGCATTATCTAATTATTGTCAGATGATTTTATATATTATAGACTAGGACTCAATTTATTTCTGCTTAATGGCATCCAATATATTTTGGTGGGAATCCAGATCATAATGCGCATACATACATACATATATTTATCTTTTTTCTTTTTTCTTTTTTCTATTTGTTCTTTTTCTTTTTCTTATTTTTCTTTTTCCTTTTTTGTTTTTTCTTTTTCTTTTTTCTTTCTTTCTTTCTTTCTTATCTTTAGTCTTTCTTTATCTTTCATTTCTTTTTCTTCTTTTTTAGTCTTATTTCTCTCTCTCTTTTCTTTTCTCCTTTTTTTCTTTTTTCTTCATTTCTTCTTTCTTTCTTTCTTTTGTTCTTGTCCTGTCTTTCTTTCTTGTTCTTTTCTGTTTTGGATCCCTTTTATTTATCAATCATTTCTTTTCTTTCTTTCCTTGTTAAGAATGTTACTATAATCGGGGCGCGATAAGGCAACCCGGGCGCCACCAGTGTAGTTGACTGGTAAACGAGGTGATTTTAATATCAATTTAGATTTAATTCATCAAATGTGCAAATATTTTTGGTGTGATACTACTATAACTTGAGTTTCTATGGTAGGAGTAATGCGGTCTCTAAAGTCCGTGTGTCATCACTAGGCACGTATATTTTACCGTCAATTTTTCTTTTTACATTTTATTAAACATTATTCAAACATTCTCGATATATAGCTCTGATTTGATACTTTTGTGTCGCCCCCCCCCTTGGAGCCCTGAAAAAAAAGTTGACGGAAGGTTTCAGACGGAACATGATCATTATCGTCTGACTGGAAAATCGACATTCCGGCTCAAAAAATGACAAATTAATCAGAAAATTGTCAAAATATTGATAGAAATAAGTGGCTAGTTGTGACAGTCCGCTTTAAGAGCTTCTAGTTACTATTAGACTATAATTACGCATATATCATTATGCATCTATCGCGGTATCATTCAACCTTATGCATTATGTATTTACAGTTTATTATTATCTTCTCTCTCATCATCCATCACTGATAATTTATCTCGCTCACTTATTATCATCCAATTATAGATAATTGGCTATCATTATCATTAATCATGACTACTACTATTTACTATTTATCATTATTATTGTCATTATTTTCCTTGTTATCATTTATCATTATAATTACTTATAGATCATTATATCATGCAGTTTTCCAACTGGCATCAATATAATCATTATTGGTATTTATCATTAATTCGTTAATATCATTTATCATCTTCATGCTACATCATCATAATGATTTAATTTTCCTTCTTCCTATCTTTATTATCACTTCACTATCTACCATTTTGTATTACTAATTTATTAATATTCATTTTATATATTATCACTTCACTATTAAATATTTTCAACATAATACTAATCTCAATGATAATAATGATAAATCATATCTATATATTTTACCTAATTATTTTTTGTCTCATTATCAGTCACTAATCTATGTTATCGCTATCATTAATATTGCTATTTTATGATTATCATCGTTCTTATTATTATCATTCGACAGTTCATTTTATCATCAATCCTAACATTTATTATCATGCTGCTTATATTATTCATTATTCGTTATCATCATTATTGTCCATTATTACTGCCTATCAATCAGCATTATTTACCATACTATTATCATTATTTATGAATCATTAAATTTTATTACATTATTAGACCATTACAGTTTCATCTATATTTTTCGTTATGTGGAATTATCAAGAGGCTTATCACGCCACTATTACGTATATTGTCATTATCATAATTTCACCATGCACCTATGCCATTATCAGCGCATATTAATATACCTTATATATATTATTTTGATGGACAGACAATATATATATTATATCAATCATTCCCAGACTCTCTATCTCTTCCAGATATGCATATATATATTATGATATAATAATATATAATTTGTTATATCATATATATAGTATATGATATAAGGTAGTAATTATAGGTATATAAATTATTAATTTAACATAATAAATAAAGGCATTATATAGATATGTCATTGACTATAGATATATTATATATATATGTGTGTGTGTGTGTGTGCTCGCTGTCGCTGTGTGTGTGTTGTTGTGTGTATTTTATCGTGTAAATATAATATTATTATACCTATCTTGCTATGTTATTTAAAACCTTTTTTATAGGTTAGGATACAAATAGACAGAATAGGATAGATTAGAATAAAGATATTGACCGATAGATGGATCATAGAGATAGATATGAGTAGATAGATAGATAGATTTGACAGTATGTAGATAGATAGAAGCTTCGACAGATAGTATAGACAGACGAGATAGATAGAAAATAGATAGATAGATAGACAGATAGACAGCAGACAGATAGATAGATACGATAGATTAGGGATTAGATAGAATAGCTATGAACGACAGCAGAATAGATAACGTACTAGAACAGATAGAGTAATAAATAGAGGTGGATGAGATATACACAGGTACATGATATGAGAGAGAGCAAAATTAATCCTAAACACACTTAATTTACGCAGCAACAAAGAGAGACGGTCTTCGAACTCGTCAGCCTCATTCTCCCGAATTGACACTGGTGCGAGAAATTGTCCATTTGTGTGCTTTCGCTCTGAGAATTTTCAGCGAACAACGAAATCATAAGAGCTCTCTGTTAGTGTAAATGTCCTCTATTTACAAATAATGTCTTCCAATCGAACTTCGTTTCATCAATCCCTCGACGCAATTAAACGGCTGATATAGTACCTGCTATCGTTTGTTTTTTTTTTTTTTTTTTTTTTTTTTTTTTTTTTAGAGACTGGATATTACCGAATCTAGTAGGCTATTTAATGTTTTACGCAAATACTACGTTTTCTGAGGCTATAGAGAAGTATGGGAGACTTATTATAATTCATGGGTCTAACACATTTTTTTTTGACAATTGATATCGCCCTCATTCTGCAAGTTGTCAGTCATATCATCCCACTGATTATTTCATCCATATTATGTCAATTCTACATTTCAACATAAAATATAGAGGTCTGTGGTCCTTTGATGCACCATCCACATTTCTTCACAGCAGGAAAGAAAGAAGGGAAGGTAAAATGGGGAGAGATGGAAATAGGAGGGAAAGATAGAGAGAGAGAAGTAACGAGAGGGAAGGGGGGCAGCAGGGAGAGAGAAAGGGGGGTAATCGGAGAGAGAAAAAAGAGAATAACATACTGACAAATTGAATTGAGAGAGACATACTAGGGTAGGAAGCGAGGATAGGAGAAGTCGAGAGGAGAGAGGAGAAGAGGTCTTGAACAGAGAAGAAGACATAGACAGATAGTCGCAAATGACGCAGAAGTTCATCGGGGAACCTCTCTTGGTATGAGAGGTTTCTAAATGGCCTCCTTTCTTCTCAGGATTGCCTATATTGACTACCCCGCACACAACCGCACCACTAAAGCCAGTTTAAAAACCGGACAGGAGGAGGAAAAAAAGAGCGGCGGATGTAAAGAGGTAGATTGTTGGAAAAAAGCGCACCTCCACTGCATCAATAAGCAGAGGGTTGTCTTCCTTGCAAGGGTCGTGCATAATCTTATCGGCGTGTCGTTTAACTGCTTGCTTCGATTCATCGTTGAATCTTTTCGTGCTTTTGTGTTTTTATTCTTTTTTGTGTCTTTTTTTTGTTGTTAGTGTGTATTAAGTGGTTGTGTGCTTGTTCTTGTATCTTTGTTATGTTGTGTTATGTATGTTAATGTGTGGTTTGTGTGTGTATGTGTCGTCTGTCTGCATGTGTTTCTTTTTCTTCGTCATCTCTTGGCTACTTGTGTGTCTTGCTCTGATTCGTTTTTTTTCGTGGTTAGTATCGTGTGTTGTGGTTGTTGTAGTGTTGTAGGTTGCTGTGTGGTCGCGCTGTGTCGCTGTGGTCTTTTCTTAACGCTATCTTGGTTCCGTCCGTCTCTTTCTTGTGATAAACAGAGACGTAATTTACTGTATTCCTTACAGAATATATTCTGTTCTCCCTCTTCGAGTTCCGTTTCCCGCTTTCAGAATGTTATCCTTGGTTCTGTTCTGGTCTCCGTCCTAAATAGATTGTGTAGCATTGTATATTCGTATT